TTCTGCCCACGTCATGCATGACCTTTCCAACGTGACTATGTAATGCGTGAGGTCAAGCTAGTGTAGTTAAAAAGTATATATATTTTTTAAATGTATAGAAAAATATAGAAAAATCAAGTAATAATCTGCTCTTATTGGACATTGGCCAGTTGGAAGTGTCATGTTCTGAAATCTCGCCTCTCTCTCTTTGTTTCAGGGCTGTACAAGAAGTCCGGCAGATTAGTATTTCTTGGTCTGGGCAATGCTGGAAAAACGACGCTTCTGCATATGCTGAACGAGCACAGACTGGGTCTGCATGTGCCGACCTTTGACCCCAGTAAGTGTACATTTCACCACACCGACCCTGCACTGCACCTTTCATAAAATGCTGCATATTGAGCTTGTCTGGCTTTGGTGTCCACTGATTCGTGTGAGCTACAGTACCAGCATACACAGAATGTTACACACATTTTAAAACCATACATCTGAGGATAAATATGGTCTGAAAAGTCTAGAGAGAAGCCTTGTAAAGTCTAGTATTTAGATATAGAAGCGTGTAAGAAGCTTTCGAAGACGTTCTGTCTGTGTGTGTTTTCAGTCAGAGAAATAAGCGCTCATTAGTTCGGCTTTGTCTCTTTCCCCTCACAGCCTCAGAAGTGCTGAGGATCGCTGGTGTGACCTTCAGCTCCTGTGATCTGAGTGAGTAGACGGAGCCACACCTCGCTGTCTGTTTGCATCAGATCGCTCGTGTGCTCAAGCTGTGTCCTGTGTTTCTGAACAGCTCGAGGGGAGTGGAGGAAGCTTCTCCCAGCCATGAGCGGCATCGTCTTCCTGGTGGACTGCGCAGATTACGCCAGGCTGCCCGAATCCAAAACAGAGCTTGACGTGAGCTTTATACTGTCTCCAGCCATTTCAGCCTTCGTTACACACTCGTGATGCGCCTCTGAACACGAGACACATGTTTGCTAGAGTCCTGCGCTGGAATTCATGAAGCATCTCTTGTCTCATGCCATACTGTACCTGTGTGTGTGTGTGTGTTGTGTGTGTGTGTGTTGGCTGTGAATAACAGGCACTAATGACAGATGAAACCATTGGAAATGTACCCATATTGATCCTCGGCAACAAGATCGACAAACCTGAAGCCATCAGTGAGGAGAAACTGCACGAGATCTTTGGCCTGTACGGTCAGACGACGGGAAAGGTAAGACA